AGTGGTAGAGCGTAGGTCTGCGGACTGAAAGGTCCCAGGTTCGATTCCGGTCAGGGGCATGTACATTGGTTGCGGGCACATCCCCGGTGTGGGATGTGCAGGAGGCAGCTGGTCAATGTTTCTCTCTCATCGACATTTCTAGCTCTCTATCTCTCTCCCTTCCTCTCTGTAAAAAAAAAAAATCAATGGAATATATTTTAAAAAAAGAGTAAATTAGGAAAAAAAAAAAAAAAAAAACCAAGCCAAAAGAAGTTAGAAAGAAATGACAAAGAGCAGAAGTAAATAAAATAGAGACTTAGCCCTAAGCGGTTTGGCTCAATGGATAAGAGTGTCAGCCTGTGTACTGAAAGGTCCCAGGTTTGATTCCGGTCAAGTGTATGCACTTTGGTTGTGGACACATTCCCAGTAGGAGGTGTGCAGGAGGTAGCTGACTGATATTTCTAATTCTCTATCCCTCTCTCTTCCTCTCTGTAAAAAAATCAATAAATTTTTTTTTTAATAGAGACTTAAAAGAAGAAAATAAAGGAAAATAAAAGCAGGGTTGTTTTTTTTTTGAAAAGATGAAACAAAATAGACAAGCATTTAGCTACACTCACTCATAAAAAGAGAACTCAAATAAATAAAGTAAAAAATGAAAAGGAGACATTACAAATGATACTATACAAATACAAAGGATCATAAAAGACTACCATGAAAATTATATACCAACAGTTGGACAGAAGAAATAAATAAATTCCTAGAAACATATAAGCCATCAAGACCAAATCATAAACAACGAAGTTAAACAGAACAATTACCAAGTAAGGAGATTGAATCAATTATCAAAAACCTCCCAAAAAAGAAAAGTATAGGACCAGATGGCTTTATGGGTCAATTCTACCAATTCTACCATTTAAAGAAGAATTAACACCAATCCTCATCAAACGTTTCAAAAAAATTAAAGAGGGAATTCTTCCATAATCATATTGTAAAGCCAGTGTTTAACTAATACCAAGCCTACATAACAGAAGAAAATAGGGACAACATTACTGATAAACAGAGAGGCCAAAATCTAAAAAATATCATTCCACAATACATTAAAAGAATGGTCAACTGGGATTTAATTCCAAAGATGCTTCAACATCTGCAAACCAATGTGATTTACTACATTAACAAAAAGGAAGACAAAATCATATAATCACCTCAACAGATGCAAAAATAGCACTTAATGAAATTCAACATCCATTTATGATAAAACTCTGTGGTGGGAAAGTAAATTGATGCAGCCACTATGGAAGATGGTATGGGGACTCCTCAAAAAAATTACACATAGAACCACCACATAATCCAGCAATTCCACTTCTGGATACACACACACACACACACACACACACACACACACACACATATATATAAAGGATATCAAAGAGATATCTACACTCCCCTGTTCACTGTAACATTAATCAAAATAGTCAGACTATGGAAGCAACCTAGGTGTTCAACAGATGAATACATAAGGAAGATGTGGAATATAAATGCAATGGAATATTATTCAGCAATAAGAACATTTGTCATATATGGATGCACCTGATGACATTATATATGCTAAATGCAATTTGCCAGACAAAGACAAATATTTCATGGCATCACTTAAATGTGGAATTTAAAAACTTTTCTTTAAAAGTTCAAACTCATAGGAACAGAAAGTAAAATGGCTGCCAGAGGCTGGGGCAGCAAAGAATAGGGAGAGGTTATTAAAAGGGTAGTACAAACTTTAGCTATAAGGTAAGTAAGGTCTGAGGATCTAATGTAAAACATGGGACCATAGTTCATAACACTGTATTGTATAATTAATATTGACTAAGGGAGTAGAACTCAAGTGGTCTCACCAAATTAATTAATTTACCTTTGCTCTAGTAAACTAGAGTACTTTAGAAACAACAATAATAAACATTCTGTTCTTATGAATTTAACTTAGTCCAATAAAATTGTATTTTCTTATATTGGGCAACATATGGTAAAGTTCTCCATATATCTAACTTGATAATATATGAATCACTTCATGATTCAGAGAATATATAATAAACAAGGTTAAAGCACACTAGATGTTTTTCTTCAGTATGACTTTGGGAATGTCAAAATATAACCCCTTTGGGTTTCAATTTCATTATGTCTAATATGAAGGTAAATGAAAGCATTCTATTTAATATAATAAAGATAATTAGTCTAGAGAACAATTCCTTCTCAACCTACTATCTCTGTCAAGTACCTAGAACTATTTATAATTTATTGCTTATTATTTAAGATGCTTACTTACAGCCAACATGAGCTAGCTAATTATTTGATTTCTATTTGACAAACCTATTGGTTAACATTCTTATGATTTCTTAAAATTAAAAATCACCTGTATAATCACCTGTATTGCTTCTATAACTGACTGCTTTAAAGAAAATCTGATTTGAATTTTCAAAATCCAACTTATACTAATTTTTATATTTTCCTCCTCAATTTTTAATCTCTTAATAAACTTTTACTAGGCTGCTAGTCTTTGATTAACATCCAAAATGAAGGTAAATATATTTCTAAGTACTCAAATATTATCACCTATGATCAGTTTTTCCATTAAAAATTGTCAATTGGTAGTAATAATTTTCCAGAGTTTCTACCTTTAATTTGAAGAGAAAATTATATTTTATAATTTCAAATGTCTAATCCTTCAATTGAATATTACCACTCAATTCTTATTTGGCATTGGTCTGTGTTAAATATCCCAGTAATGTTTCAAAGAGTCTAAAATAATTTCTTTGGTCTGTGTTAAATCCCAGTAATGTTTCAAACAGTCTAAAAATAAACTGTCCCTTCCATCTGAGAGCTTTCACAAAAATCAAATGTAACATAAATTAAATGCATATTATATATAAGGTTCTTTTATACATGTATTATCTTATTTAATCTCATAATTATTTACATTTTTCAGGGGGAAGAAAAAAACATTTCAATTTCAAGAAGATTAAACGATGTATCAAAAGTTATACATCTAAAAAGAAATGCCAAGCATTGATCCTAGGTATATCTGTTTATAAAGCCAAGATCATTCCAGTACAAGAGGTTGGCAAAATCAGTATAAAAATCCAGATAGTTGCCCTGGCCAGTATGGGCTCAGCGGCTACATCATTGTATGCTATACCAAAAGGTCATGGGTTGATTCCAGATAAGGGCACATACCAGGTTGTGGGTTTAACTCTGGTCATGGTTCATGTAGGAGGCAACTGATCAATGTTTCCCACTCTCTCCATTCATACCTATCGTCCTCTCTCTTTCTCTCCCTTCTTCCTCCCTTTCTCTCTAAAATAAATAAAATAAGTAATTGTTTTTAAAAAATAGGTGGAAGGTCTAATTTAACCCAAGGCCCATAGTTTGCCAATTCCTTCAAGATAATACAATACATTCCCTCCTAGAGAATTTATATTAGCTTTTCATTAACAGCAATAAATTTTCTCTCTTGCTATTAAAAAAAAGTTATGACTTTAATCTTTCTGGGCAATTTTATTTTAATGATTTCCTTATTCAGCTCAATTATTTAAAACATGTTATTATTAGGAACTATGCACAACCTTTTACAAAGTCTAAATACAGTACCAATCATATCAGAAATTATTCTACAAATAAGGCGAAATATTCTTAAAACTATATATAGTAATGGCATATACAAAATACTTAGTGTGAAAATATCAATATTTAAAGTTCCTATACTGAACTTTTTTCACTTACTTGTATAGAATTTCAATTGCTCAAGCTATCTATCAATCTATCTATCTATCTATCTATATATATATATATATTTAATAAGCATAATCTCAGCCCAGAAACAGTAACAAATGTCCTTATAATTACATAAATAATGTATATAAGAAATATAAATATATAGACCTTAAAGATCTTCTCTCCCTTATTCCAAAATTTAATTATGTGAACCACCATTGAACTTGCTAGTTTTAATATAAAAGATTTAAATATAAAGAAAAATTTCCTATCAAGATTTTTCTTTCTTCCCTCTCTCCTCCCCTTTCTTCCTCACATGCCACAATCTAAGTCTAAATGACATACAATCTGAGACTCAAAAACCAGCTCTATAGGAAAGCACACAAAGTAAGATTCAGAAAATACAAGATCAGGTTCAAATCCCAGCTCTCTAACTAAAACTAGTTGCATGATCACTTCTTAGCTTTGTGTCTTTAACAACTACTAATTAAAAGTCTGTTAGTCTACTTCCTCATCTATGTAAGTGGGCAAAACTATACTCACCTCAAGTAGTGGTTATGAGTATTAGAGTGAGAACTAAAATGACAAGCCATAGCATATGTTGATATATAGTCAAAGACTTAAAACTCCCAGTTGCTGCTATTGCCAATACCACCACTACTATCACCATTTTAGGCAAGTACTGTTAACATATGTTGTATTTTCCTCTACAAAGCAAGAAAAGTACTGCCTTTCCTCAAATGATATCTATAACAACTTTTTGATGCATCTTACAAATTCTATTATTATATTATATTTTGTTCAATTGGTAAGATATGTCCACATATAATACCTTAATAAAAAAAAAATGGGGAAAAAAAGTTAAGGGGTAACGTTTCTCCCCCTTCCCCAATAATTTAAAGTTCTTTTGAAAAAAAATTAATGTCTATTTTTATTTTTGAAAAGAAATAAGTAATTAACATTTTTCACTTTGTTTCTCATTATTGTAGTTATTTTAAACCAAAACATATACAGTATATTAAAAGATCTATTAATTGCTTTTTAAAGAAAGTCATCGAACACTAATAATTACAAATAGACTTGGTTAAAAGGCAATGTCCAATTCGAGTTTACTTTCTCAATCCCAATATATCTTAAAATTCATTAATTTGGGGTTTAATTTTATTGCTTTTGTTTTCAATCTTTTGAACATAAAGGAAGCATATTGATAAGTGTATGCTATAGCTGCTCTAACATTAGTGAATATAAACATTTCTTACCAAGTTACGCTTTTTTAGTGGAAGAAAGTAATAATAGTGGCAGAAAGAAAACATCAGTGCATAGCAAGTAAGAAGTTCAGTGTAGAAACACAATTGCAGAAAAAGCCAATGATTATCTTCACCAACACAATTGTTAATCCTGAAAGAAAAAAAATAAAAAGAAATTAAACTTTGGTAAGATGTTAATTTCAGAATTGGTAAAAATAAACACAAAAAACTTCTTATATGGGTAACTTCATGGAGACAGGCTAACATCACTCAAACCTAAAAGCAAACAGTACATAGAAAAATATATAATATCTGTAAAGCACTTTGTATTTTACAAAGGAAGTCCATATATATGATTCTTCTTTAACTCACAACCACCCTGTGAGGCAGGAAGAGCAGATGTGAGAACAGGAACGAAAGCGTTAAACTCGCCAGAGACGTACAGTTAGAATTTAAGACACTTGCCAAAGCAAGTACAGATAGTGATGAAGAGAAAAGAACCTTCTCCTATACAGTGCTCTTCTGTGAGACATTCTAGCTTCGAGAGCAATTTGAATGATGTGAAGTAAAATAACTTAATCCTGCACTCTGACATAACTGTTAAGCATTCACAATTCTTCTTACTTTTCAAAGCAATCCTTGATTGCTAAAAATAGACATATATCCAAAACTACTTACAGATTCTTAGAGCTACACTTCCAGCAATACAATAATGAACCATAACTATGAAAAACTATTAATGTCATAATCCCCAAAATTTCAAAGCTAATTCAAGCTAATGTTTTATTGTACCAGAATTTATTGTGCCCAAATTTTAAAAATATTTTACAATTCCAGGAGAAAACCCTAATTCAGAACTATAAGTTACCATGTACAAATGTTTTTATTTCAATGTATTACACTGGTACTATTCTGTGTGGGGTTTTTTGTGTGTGGGTTTTGTTTTTTTGTTTTTGTTTTTGTTTTTGTGTGTGTGTGTGTGTGTGTGTGTGTGTGTATGTGTGTGTGTGTGTATGTGTGTTTGGGGGGGGGTACATATTTTTAATGATTTTGGAGAGAAGAAGGGAGAGGAAAAGATAGAAACATCACTGATGAGAATCATTGATTGGCTGCCTCCTGCACACCCCCTACTGGAGATTGAGCCCGAAACCCAAGCATGTGCCCTTGACAGGAATCGAACCTGGGACCCTTCAGTCCTTAGACCAATGCTCTATCCACTGAGCCAAACCAGCCAGGGCACTGGCACTGTTTTTAAAAAACTATATAATAGGTTCAATTCCTAATTTAAATTGTTGTTTTAAAAGTGTGCTATTAAAGTATTTTTTTAAATCAGATATAGAACTAAATGGAAAATTGTACAGAGGCATTCCTTAGACTTAAGAGCTCATTCTTGGTTATTAAGAAAATGTCCTGTGTTTTGTTACTCACAAGCAGGACTATCAAAGTGTTTATGTATGTACTCTTCAATAGAGACTGTTTGAAAGATGACTTATCCTGTCCTGTCCTCCCTGTCACCCTAAATTTGAGAACAACTGCTGATACTGGCATTTTTCTTAACCAGAGATCTTTAAGGAGCACTAAGGTTCTTAGTTTATATATGTAAGAGTTCTCTTGGTAACAATTATACTACATAGAAAAAGTGATCAGATTCAGATCAGAGAAAATCTTATGGTGACCTGAGAATTGTTCTCCAAATCTGAAGCTTTAGGCAGTTAGAACAACGCCATTTATGAAAATGACAAAAATTTTCTTTGCTTCCAATTTACATTGTATAGTTTCCCTCACTCTGGGTATCTCAACAACATTTTATTAGGAAATTAATTCATGAAAACCCCTAAATTTATTCAAGCCCCTGGACTACCCTCTTTTCCTATCCTCCAACTCTTTCTACTTCCATTCTTCTTCCCAATATTTTGAGAAGCTGACTAAATTGGAAGCAAGAGGCATAGAAATAGAGAACTCACCACAATCTTCGAGTTTAGGCTAAAGTTTAGCCAAATAGCACTTTACTGTATTTTGTCACTGAGTTAATCTTTATTCTTTAAAAATAAAAATAAAAATATCACTAATCTCTATAGTACCAAATATTTCCTTACTCACTGTTTATGTTTTTAAGCTTAAACTATTGCATTATTTTAAATGGAAGTATCAATATCTAACCATATATGAACATTTATTATATTTTTAGTTAATCAAAAATATTGCTCTAAAAAGTATATAAAATTGAGTTTTTCAGTGTGATTACAACTTACCAGGTTACCTAATTTTTATTATCTATTACTATTATAATTAGAAAAGATCACTGAATTGTAGAAAACTCTTGAGGATTAACCTGTATAAATTCTAGGCACATTTTTAAAGACTAACTGTGTTATAAACTATACTATCTTATTGATGAAATATATATATAGTAATAAAGTGCTTTTATCTAAAAGTGCTTTTTATCTACTTAAATAACCATTTTATAGTAAAACACAGTTTTCTACTAAAACTTTGCTAATAACTTGTGCTATCAAAATAAGTTACAAAAAAATAATGGAAACTCTAAGTTGATTAGCATTACTAGACAAAGCTAAACTCTTCCCTCGAGTCAGCTTTAGATATAAGCAGTTATAAATTTAACAAGCCTGCTAAACAGTTAACTCTGTATATATGTATGCATGTATGTACAAACATAAACATAGATATATACAGATATGTTTATAGAATGCTATACTATAGCAGTTTAAATATTTATACAGCTATCCTATGCTAGAAAAACATTTAAATACAATATCTTGTTCACAGATTCTTGTGACAGCTTTGAAATGAGATACAATGCAGAATTCTCACAGCATTTGTTTTTAAAAAATCGATTTTTTAAGTAAACATTTTCTTTAAATATTACAAGAGAGCCCCCTATTGACCAAAAACGTTGGCTGTTCAGCAGAATGAACAGCCACACACACTCATACACATCTAGCATGTATGTAATCTTAATACCTAAAACATATAATACTGAAAAAGGCTTAAAGGGAGAGGAATGAGGTTAGGGTACCTGAAATGTATTATTCTCTAAACAAATGGAAAGGGAAATATAAACAATGGGATGTATACAGTTTATTACAGTTAGAAACAATAAGAGCTACTGTTTAAGTACTTTCTAAGTCTCAGACACTGTACAAAATGTTTTACATATATGCCTCATTTAATATAACCACCACAGTCCTTCGTATATGTGGCTGCATGTTAATTCTTAGCTTTCTACTAGAATATTTCCTTGTTAGAAAAGATAGGATCTCTGTGGGGGGGAAAATGATTTTCGGAATTCATAGAACCATATCAAAAATGCATGCTTATTAAAAGGTGTTTTTAAACTACATCAACTTCATGTAACTTTTGTTTAAACCTGCTAAGTACTACAATTTAGTTTCACTAGTTTTTTCTAACAGTGAATTATTCATTTCTTACCATGGACAGTGATGATCCATTCTCCTCACACAGTGGCCGCAGCGGCTGCAGTGGTGGGAACGCTTTGGTCTCATCAAATTACACTTGTTACATAATTCCCAGAACTCCCTTTCTAGGGAAAGAAATTAAAATCTGTTTAATGAAGGTAAATGAGTAATGTTGCAATTTAGCAACAACTGTTTAGAGATTTTATAGAAAGTCTTCAATATATATGTCTAAGAAATTTTTCCTCTAGTCTCCAATATGTGTTTCACATAAATATTGTTGCTCTGTTCTATGTATGTCTGACTTTGTACGTTTATAATTTTCAATACTATAAAAAAAAAAGACACTATTATAAGTCAAATTAAGGGATAGAAAACAATGTATTTGGATTTGGGACATACTACTATAAATAAAATTCAATGACAAAACCCTAAAATATAACCAAATTATTACATTAAAACAGAATTTTATTCAAACAAATTTCTAGAAATTTTGTTATCTAAAGGCTCTAAAAAAGGAATAATGGTGCATTCTGGTTTCATGGATTAATAAATCCTATAATCTCATTAGAGAAATAGGTTGCATTCCTAACCCTCAAATCATTTTATTTTCTCATATTAACAAGTTCACTGGGGAAAGTTCATGGGGGGATTTGGAAAAGATTTTCAGATCGGTTTAGGAGGTTATTAGAATAGTTTCAACCTACATATCTGTAAATCATGTCTTGGTCTTCTCCCTTTCCTTCTTCAGGTGTATGCATGTGCAAATAGGACCTTGGTGGCCAATATATTCTGATGTCTGATAACTACCTCCAATACTATTGTACCAGCCATCTTAAAATATAAAATAAAAACCTTTGGGAGAGAAAATCCAATTGCTAATTTATGATAACTATAAATAAATTAAAAACACACAGATATATTTTTTAAAATGAAAAATCACAACCTAAATCTAATCAGAGAAAAAAAGACAAATTTCACAAATGACTGAGGATTTTAACATAAGTAAACAGCATCACTTTTTTGTTTTTTGATTTTTTGTAAGAGAACATTTTTGGTAAATCATAGTGGTAGAAAAAGTAATTCCTAGAAGAAATGGACTTAGGAAACAAGTTACCTGGAAGGACCCTTGGAGCCTGGAAGTGAGGAAGCTAACGGTAATGGGCCTGAGAGAGGGAGGGGGCAGAGGAAAGAGAGGGGGAAAGGCCAGGGTGTGCTCCCTAGAAAGAGAACACGGGGCCCACCTCTAAGGGTGAAGATTTTAGGGGAGGTCTCATGGGAAGATCTCAAGAGAATGTTCAGCTGTTTTTCAGATGAGCCTAGCAACACTGTTGAACATGGATCCTTATTAATGCTGTGAATAATGAATGAATATAAAACAAGGTTTTATTTTGTTTTGTTTATCCCTCAGAAAGGAAGGAAGCACCTTCTGTTTTAGTCTTTCAAAAGACTGGAATTGTTAAAAGGCCCTCTTTCAATTACTGCATTTCAAATCACAAAGTAATGTTTTGGAGAAAAATATAATTTAAAACTACCAAAATCAATACAGGGTTTGGGTCTTAATAGTGGTTTCCGGCCCTAACAAGTTTGGCTCAGTGGATAGAGCATCAGCCTGCAGATTAAAGGATCCCAGGTTCGATTCCAGTCAAGGGCATGGACCCTGTTTGTGGGCACATTCCCAGTAGGGGGTGTGCAGGAGGCAGCTGATTGATGTTTCTCTCTCATCAATATTTCTAACTATCCCTCTCCCTTCTTCTCTATAAAAAAAAAAAAAAAAAAAAAATCAGTAAAATGTATATTAAAAAAAAAATAGTGGTTTCCTGACAGAACTGGTTGCCAATATAGAAAATAAATGTTAGTAAGTCTCCTACAGCTCACCTTTAAAAAGCAATATAAGCCCTGACCATGTGCTCAGTGGGTTGGAACACTGCCCAATACAACAGAAGTTTGAGGGTTCTATTCCTGGTTAGGGCACGTGCCTAGGTTTCGGGTTCCATCCCTAGTCAGGACACCTATGGGAGGCAACTGATTGATGTTTCTCTCTCATATAGGTAGTTCTCTCTTTTTCTCCCTTTTGCTCTCTCTAAAAAGCAATTTAAAAAAGCATATCCTCATGTGAGGATCAAAAATAAGAATTTAAAATAGAAAAACAATATAAGCCTTGGCTGGTGTTTCAAGTGGTTAGAGCATCGGCCACACACCTAAACATCATGGGTTCGATTTCTGGTCAAGGGCACATACCTGGATTGGTTTGATGCCTGGCCCCAGTTGGGTGCATGCAGGAGACAACCAACTGAAGTATTTCTCTAACATCAATGTTTCTCTCTCTCTTCCCCGCCCCTTCCACTCCATCTAAATATCAATAGAGAAAGTATCCTCATGAGGATTAACAAAAATAATAATAATAATAAAATAAAAATAAGAGCCCCAATCAGTTTGGCTCAGTGGATAGAGCATTGGCCTGCAGACTAAAGGGTCCCAGGTTCGATTCCGGTCAAGGGCATGTGTCTTGGTTGCAGGTACATCCCAGTGGGGTGGTGCAAGAGGCAGCTGATAGATGATTCTCTCTCATCGACGTATCTGACTCTCTATCCCTCTCTCTTCCTCTCTATAAAAATCAATAAAATATATTTTGAAAATAAATAAATAAAATTTAAAAAATAAGATAATATTGGAGGGAGGAAAAAGGCAAAACTATGAGTGAATACATGAGCCTCAGCATTAACAGCATGGGTTAAATTTCAAGGAACAATATTAGACAAATTTAAAACCTGATACATTTTTTAAAACTTAGATTTTGTTCTCTAACCATATGTCAAAAAGTAGCTCTACTGATGACAAAAAAAACACTAAAGTCAAAATTACTAGTTAAGAAAGAGCTTGGTGATGAAATGTTCTAAAACTGACTGTGGTGATAGTTGCATAACTCTGTAAATATACTAAAAACCACTAAAATGTATAAATTTATATGGATAAATTATACTGCATATGAATTATACTCAATGAAGCTATTTTTAAAAGTTAAAAGATTGAATAAAATCATGAGATTTGAAAGTGACAAAAGTAATATTTCTGTATTTCAGACATGTGTGAATAATTTGAATAATATAAAAATACATTTAATTATTTCACCTGACTATTTATCTTCATGCCAAAAAGCTTATATTAGAAAATCAAATTCTGGGGCCTAGATGGCGTTGCTCAGTGGTTGATCATCGACCTCTGAACCAGGAGGTCACGATTTTTTAAAATCTGTATTTAAAATCATAGTAAAAGCTGGTGGAACAAGGATCTGTGCCTCAAATCTGTTCTGTAATATTCTACTATGTGACCTATAAAGCATAATCTATGCTCCTGATCACGCAGATACTTACCTCATACAATTACCCTGAAGATTGTATGACATGAGATAGATACCAAGAGACTTTGAAAACATTAAAATATGATAAATTAACATATTTTTTTGATTGGATAAAAAGAAAATCTTCTGAACTCAGTGAAGGAAAATAGCCCTAATGTCAAAGGGACCAGATATAATGCAGATATCCAAATAGTCAGCAAGATGGTGTCCTCTATTGCTACAGTCTATAAGCTAAAGTTAATAAAGTGGTTTCATGATTCAATTAGGCCCACAGATATTAATCTGCTTGGTATTCATTTAAAAACAATTTTTAAAAATTTTTTAACTAGTTGCCAATATTTTTTTAAATTATGAAATTTCTCATAAAGAAATTATTATTAAGTAAAAATGTAATTTCTCAAATAATTACATACCACTCAACAAATATTTACCCAGGGTTTACTAAGTGACAGAGACTGTTCCAGGCGCTGAGGATACAGCACCAAACAAATGAAGAAAACGAAACAACAATCCTCACCCTCACCGAGGTCATACAGATCTAGGCAAACCAATACACAAACTGAAAGAGGCAGCAAGGGGCGGGGGCATGAGGAGGCGGCTGGGATCTGCAGTTTCAAACAGAGAACTAACTCTAGGAAGGAAACATCTGAGAAAAACTTGCCAGTTGTAATAGATGTCATACATAACTAATGCATACTAAAGGCAATAAATAATTAATAAAAAGAGTAATTCTGGAATAGTAAAACTGATAAATCTGAAGAGTACCATACCTCCAAGTGGGATCTTAGGGTTCTCAGGGAGTCTTCCTGGATCTGTTACCGAGGCCCTTACTAAGGCCACCAGACAAAATATGGCAATGCCATAGAATACTAGGAAGAAAGAGAAAGGGAGAAGGAAAAGGTAGGAGAAGGGCAAAGGGAAAGGAAAGAGAAGAAAGAAAATTAGTCACTTACCCTTAGAAACATTTTTATGAACAAGCATATTTAAAGTTTAATTGCATATTTTAATTAATACTATCCAGATAAATAATTTTCAAAAGATGGAAAAATTAAATGATTAATTCACTTGGTTCATCAAATAATACTGCCAAGAGGACTATCTTAAGTATACCACTTTTAAATGTTACTTTGCATAATAACCAATAAACTTGTTGTAAATCATATTCTTTACTATTAGAGTCCCAATAAGCAATGGTATAAATGAATGGGTTCCCTATTAAGTACATGTACTAAATTTGAAAAAAATTAAAGCAACATTTTTAAGCCTATCCTACAATTAAACCTTTTCATTAATTCTTAACTGGCTATCTTCAAAATTACTTTGAGTTAGTAATGTTCAATTGTTCCTTTCAATAGATTTTAAGATATTTCATTTGAAAATAAAGAATCTAGAAACTTTTTTAAAATGAAAAACTAGGTAAAGTAACAGTAAGAGAAAAAAATTCATTCATCGTAATTCAACCTTTTAAATGAAAAAAAAAATAGGCATTTTTTTGAGGATGGGGTGGAGGAGAGGGCACTGCACCTATAATAGGTAATTTAGTACAAGTGTTAACTACAGGGCTGACTGCATGGCACTGGTCAATTTTATCATTTATATATCAGAAACTACATTTCTCACAGCTCTTATGAGCTCAAAATGACATAATCTATATGGAAACTGTTAATGCCATGTACATGTAAAATATGTCATTTCAAATTTAATCATAAGCAATCCATCAATCAATGAACTATAGCAGAAAATAATTATGTGGAAGTTCAAAGTGTTATAATGAACACATGTATCATAAAAATCTTCATTCTCATTAATGTATACGATCTTCATTCTTGAACTCTTTATACATTTGCAATAAGCACATAACAGAAATATTAAAAATACACAAATTGACACAATTATATCTTTTTTAAAATAAAATGATCTTTATATAGTTTATAGAGTTCGATATCTAACCTATTTCTCTAACCCTGCAAAATAGTATATAAAGAACATTATTTTTAAAAATTTCCATAATTCAGTAAATAACTTAGTATTAATAGCACTAATATTAAAAGGAAGATTAATATAGTAGCACTATATTCTAGAAATATTCACAATGAAGAAAATCTTTAATTATATAAAGAAATAAAGACCTAGAAACTTACTTATTATTAATATGCCTGGAATATGTCCTTCTTCATAGTGAGGAAAGAGGACAATTTTGGGAATTATAACAATATTGTATAACCAGACAAAGACAATCAAACCCATGCAGCACCAACCATGTGGGTCAACAACAAAGTGAATCCGGAGACCCATTTTGCAGTCCTACAACTGCCTGCCAACCCACAGGAAAGACAATCCTACAGAGAGAGAGAGAGAAGAAAAAAGTTACCTACTACAATAGTATATAGAAATAAGTATTTGACTAAAACAAAATTATCTTACTGGCAACTATAACATAATACTTGTTGACTTTTCTTTGTATGTTTTGACAAAATACTTTAGAAAAGAAAAGAAAGTTTCAGGATATTCAAATTTCACCATATGCTTCAAATAATTTTGATTTTCTTTATGAATTGCTATCATAGAATATAAATTGGCATTACCTTCTGAAGTTAAATACAAGTCTGTTCTTAACCCAGAAATTCTATGTGTAAACCCAAAAGAAATGAGTACACATATCCACCAAAAGAGATATATATATATATATATATATGTATATATATATATATATATTACATATAATATTTTAGTAGTTTTAATCATAAGACTAACTGATGGTCAACCAAGTCAAAATAGCAGTAATTTTGTGGTGGGAAGGGTGTTCAACTTGAGAGGAACATAAGGGAACCTTATGAGGGGTTAGAAATGTTCTCTCTTGACCTGGGTAGGTTTCATGGGTATATACATATGTAAAAATTCACTGAGCTGTCCACCTAAGATTTGTGCAATTTAGTTTAATTTTAAACCATAGTAAAATGTTTATAAATTATTTTGAAAAATTATAATAAAAACTGAAAAGCAATTAAAAATTGCCAAAATAATTAAATTTGTTGAATGAAGACCAATTAATCTTATTACCATCAAGGCTTTTTTCAGTTGAATGTTAATAAAAAAAAATGAGCCTCTTAATGTTAAGATACTTCTATACTTATGTTAAAAAAAGAAAGAAAATGACTTTAAAAATCCATTCTTTAGATGGAACTTATAAGCTTAAACAAATTATAATATAAAATACAATGACATAATACATTAATATACTATGATGAAGTTTCACAAACCAGAATCAACTGAGATTTTTAAAAATACTATTCTCAGACCCTAATACCATCTATTGAATCATAATTCTTTACAAAGTAAAGCTCAAAAATCAACAAAATGTTAAAAATGTTCCCCAAATGCATATGACACAGCTGAGTGATATCAAGGAACCACTAAGTCAGGAGCTTCACTAAGACTTTACTGTTACAGCTGAATTTACTAAATTCAACAAATATTCACTGAGCCTCCATGATACAGCAGTTACCTGTGTAGACACAGCAATGAATAAGACATGGCCTTTGCTTAAAGCAATTAACAGTCTAATGGGGAAGAGAGTCATAAAATGGTTTTAATATAATATGGTAAGTTCCAGAGATGAGGACAAATTGTTACTAGAGGCACAAAAGACAAGGACTAATTAAATCAGGGCAAGACTTCCTACACGGGGTGAAACCCGAGTTCAGTATTAAAAGATGAGTAAGTTATTCAAGTAAAGCAAAGTGACAATACTGTCAACAGAAGGAAGAGCAAGAGATATTCAAGGGTAAAAGCTGTAGGAGATATTACAAATTGCCATCATAAATCACAAATCTTTCAATGACAAGAGAGTCAGGGTGAGAAGGTGCTATATCAAGAAGGACATCAAGATGCCATGTTAAAATATTAAAGAGTTCATTCCTGGAAGGTGTGGTTCAGTTGGTTGAGCAGTGTCTCGTGCACCAAAAGGTCATCCTGATCAGGGCACTAGGCCGGGTTTTGGAGATCCCCATTAGAGGGTATGCAGGAGGCAACCGATCTATGTTTCTCTCTCTCTCTCTCTCTCTCTCTCTCTCTCTCTTATAGATGTCTCCATCTCTGTTTCTCTCCTTCCCTCCTTTCCCTTCCTCTCTCTCTCTAAAGCCAATAAGTGTGTGTGTGTGTGTGTGTATAATATATATATATATATATATATATATATATATATATATATATAATGTCATTCTGAAGCATTGGAAAGCTATTGAAACAGGGAGTTAACATAATGAGATTTATACTTTAAATTATTGACACTCTGGTGAGGAAGATGAAAGATATGTTGGAGAAGAAATCAATTGAAAAAATAGAATCAAACCAGTAATTTTACTAATTGACTGGATATTAAGGGTTATAGGGGGAAAAGTAAAGGATGACTCCCAGGTTTTCAGTTTATATCCCAGACTACCAGTGCTTAATTCTTAGAATAATTTATCATCAGTTGAAGAGCCTCAGGGTACCAACTCTTAGAGGCCTTAACAATGTTCTTTAAAGCTACCAGAACAAAGAAAAAAAAAAAGATGAAGAATTACTTGATTTTAAAAGTAATCATTCCTAGAAGCTACAAATATCAGGGCAGCTAAAAATAAGATGGGAACTCAAATGCACCACCACTCAACTGATGAAATCAGATACTGTCTAAATTAATCTTTATATATAAAATCTAAAACATGAATAGTGCCTAGGTCTTTAAAAAAGTAGAAGTTGAATTTTAATACCTTTTAATTAGAAAATTAAAATACATAGTATCATTTAAGCGTGAAAAGTCAGAGAGAATAAAACATGCTATTTAACTTACTATCATTTTAAAAACTAACTATGCTCAAATAAAAATGATAAGCTATCTATCAAAGCTAAAAAGAGAAACACTAAAATAATGTTTACATTTATAGTCTTGCCAACCATCGAGTGCTAAAAGAAATGACAGAAGGCTCTGTCTCTCAACATATTCAATATTATTAACTTTTTGTAACTTCTCTAAATATTTCAGTTCCATTCAGGACTATACAACAAATTATGAATTACAATAATTATACAGAACAGAGTAGTTGAATAACTTATTTCCAGATTTTTTAATATTAGAAGCAGAAGAGCAAACAAGCCAGCAAAACAAGTAGCAAAATTATATAATATTCATTATTTTTTTAACTTTATTTTTATTCTCCCCTACCAGAGAACAAACTTTATCACTAGAAAAGAGAGATTCCTCACAACAGAAAAAATTAGATAGTGAAAATAATAGTTACAATGTATCTAACTTTCCTGGATGTAAACATATAGGTAGCAAACTCTATAAGAACAAGCACGCTCAAGGAAAAGTGAGCAAAAGATAAAAAAATAAAATAGTAAACAAATAACATGTTGAATATTTTTTAAATACCTGATTAGTGAAAATTAGTGCCACATAACCCTTACAACTGGATTGTAGAGAAAGAAGAAAACAGTAGTCTCCCAAGAGCTCCAGATCAGATTACACCCAGAGTTGCAAGATCACTCCACTCAGTTAATGACAACTAGGCGTGGCTTATGACTGAACAGAAACTATTACACATCCTGAGCAACAACCGAACTGACAATGCTGCTACTCCAGTGGCGTTTGTAAAATACTTTCATTAGCCAAAGATCCCAACATATTAATTTGAATACTAAATGATGAGCTTATAACTAAACTTTGATGTAACTAGTGGACATACTGGTACTTCAACATTTTTAAAGATTGCTATCTGGTAACTAAATATACTTGAGTGCTGTGTCTACATAATTAGTGATGTAAATTACTACAGCTCAAACTTTTTTTTTCGAGAAACTATAATTCAACTCTAATAAAATGGACTGCATAAATATTTACAATGTTCAAACTATCCTGGTAAGAAACCACCTTTCCTTTTTTGCCTTTTCAGATTTTAAAAAATAAGTTACCCAACATAATTTACAAGAAATACAGTCAAACATCTCTGTCTATACTTACAGGTTTAGCTAACTCTCCACTTCAGTGGTCTTACTACTGCTCCATGAATGGAAAATGTACTCCATCTGCATTTCTCCTATCTGAAATGTTGTTACCATTTTGCTTACTCTAAATTCAACTCATACTTCAAGGTCAATCTGAATCTCACTCTCCATATAAAAATTTTCCTGGTACCTCAGTTCACAGTGATTTCTCCTTCTCTTCTATTCAATATAAAAAGCAAAACTAGTAGAGCAAAATAGCGAGTGGTTTTATAATTTTGGAATGAGGTAGGCCTTCTCAAAGGAGACCCATAAGCTAAGTTTGACCATATAAAGGAAAAAGTTCTGAAGCCAAAGACACGCCAAATCTGAAGTTAGGACAATGCATCTCTGTAAAATAATAACATATGACTAATAAGCATACAAAATAAATACTTAGCCAGGCAAATCACAGTAGAAAAATGCAATGGCAAATTGCTAGTGATTAGGAAGTGTGAAGTAATCAGGCATATTTTTCATCTTTGGTATTGAAAATTTTAGGAGGACAGATGACATCCAATGTTGAGAGGATAGAGAGAAAAGGACACATTGGTAGCACAAAAACTGATACAACCATTTGGAGGGCAATTTGGCAGTAAATGCCAAACTCTTTAACCCAGCAGTTTTATTTCTAGTAATACCTAAAAAATATTCATTAGAGTGTATCGGTCTGTGCAAGAATGTTCTATACAGCACTTTTAAAATCATAATAGTATGGAACAACCTAAATGTCCATGTAGAGGAAGAGGAATGAGTAAATAAATTATAATATCCATAGTGTAAACTATTTCCAAGTCACTACAAATTTAAAAGAGGAAAAATGAGTAGCTCTAGATCTCCATATAATGTTGAGTTACATAGGCAAAGTCTATGAGGGAGGGGCTCTCTTAGTGGTTCCCTAAAGAGAGAGGAGAAAAAAGATAGACTAGGAAAAGGCATGGAGAACTTTTGTGACACTGATAAAGGTCTCTATCTTGATATAACTTTGAGATACGCAGGTCATGAACTGTCAAAATTCAGCAAATACACACTTAAGAGTGTTGCATTTCATGGTATATAAATTTACCTTTTTAAAAACCCTGTAAAACAACACTGAACTCTAGTTAATAATGTATATGCTGAAGTATTGGGGAGAGAGGGAAGAAAAGGAGAAAGTGTATTGATAATTATAATTTACTTTGAACAGGATCCAAAATAATTAAAATAGATTGCTAGATGGACAGAGGGATGGATGAGTATATGATGAAGTTCAGTAAAATATTAGTTGGAATGTA